ACAGCTGCCCACCTTCCCCTTCCCCCACAGAGGTCACGACCCTCGATCAGATAATTTTTGACTAGTGACAGAAATAACGTTTCCTAGACACCCGGTGACGTTCTTGTGCAAATTGCGAAAATACGTAAACGTATATACGTTTGTGTAAAATAAACTACGGTGAAACCCCGACGTTCACATATTCGGCATTTCATATTATCACGCGAGAGCCGTGTAAAACACATTCAAAATGGCTTTCTCTCGCTGATTTGTCTGGAGAAGCGCATGCGTCTTCTTCGCCATGATCCGCCACGTGTTTCCTGCACAAATGTACGCTCTCTTCACTCGCTGTGGCACTCGATAGGTATAATTCTACATTTCCGTTGTCCATTCACAACCTACCCTCTACGCGATTTTGACAGGCGCAGAAATATTACGTATTTCCTTACGTAACTAAATATATTGTTGCTTAGTCGCAGTAATAACATCAGGAAGGAATAAAACCACGTTTGTTTTCATTCATTTCGGATAATATGAAGCAACGTCCGACAATAACGGAATATTTTCCACTTCATAAGATGCCCGTTTGTCGTTATTTTAATTAAAAAAATAACAGTATGGCTGAAATTCAAAAGTAAAAATTAATAATAACTAATAATATAATGCCAATTCTTGTACATTTCCAAACTCATTTTTTATTTTTGCCTCTCCTCGATGTTACATTGTAGTGGGATTGGTGTTTGATCTGCGCCAAACGTTGTTTGACGGACGTCTGATAGATTGCTCTAATATTTAATGTGCCGACAGCGAGGTAATACAGATTAATTAGATTCGACAAAATGTAGCATACACAAAAACCACATACAAGTAAAATATAAACCGTACGTCATGGTCCATTCTGTATGTAACGGGAATGTGTGCATTTAACTCGATAGTAAATCCTATACCTATATTTACTCACGCGTGGCGAATTGCTTCTTTATTAAAAATGACGTTCTTCCCATAACACACGCTCCGGAGTTTATATTAGAGCGGACCGTTGCTTTTTCATATTATCTCTACGTCATCAATACGAGATCAACGTGCGAAAGGTCTGTCCGTTGTATCCAATGCTATCCAGTTCAATTTTAATTAGAACCTTTCAAAGCTGTCTTTGATCAGTGTCTGTGCGGACACAACAGGTATCGGCGACTCGCAAATGGCTTACAATATATCGTGCCTTCGTCAGCGTCATGCCCATCCGCTGCCATTAATTAGCCTAACCAACGTGGCAGTGTCGGTCAGGACGCATCTGGCATGGATGCGAACGGTTCCTTTCTCGATAAGTGCTTGTTTGGAGTCCCTCTGGTTTTCTTCTTCGCTGGCTTCTCAATTGCGTTGACGCGTTTACCTCTGCATGGCCTCGAGCCCATCTCTGCGTTGCAGAGTAGGTCGAGTCGTACTCGCTCTGCTGTTAATGGCAGCGATACGGCCTACAAAGGAAACGAAAAACAAAGAGAGGAGCTACTGTTACACTTATATTTAGCACACGCGTGCGCACGCACATCTCGCTCATGGTATCGTGCTCGACAGCAATAGTTGGGTGGATAACGACCAGCCGGCTGACCGTGCTAGGCTAAACTAATTTTTTAGACTAAACCCTTTTCACGCCTGTGATGTGCAAAATGTATATACGCACATAATACGCGTGTGTGCGTGTGTGAGACCATGCCTGCGTGTGTGCGTGCGTTGCTGTGTCTGTTTGTTTATCGGTGAGACTGTAAACACACGTATTATAACCGTATATCCACATTTTGGGCATTACGGGCGTGAAAAGGTTTTAGTCTAAAAAGGTTTCAGCTGAAAAACAGCTAGCCACCTAATGGTAATCCACTGTGCTTACGCTGTCATGTGCGATACCAACCGCGAGAGGGGGTGGAAGAGAGAGAGAGAGAGAGAGAGAGAGAGAGAGAGAGAGAGAGAGAGAGAGAGAGA